AGCAGCCAGCTGCGCTTACCGCCGCCGACCACAAGGGCTGCCCGCTGCTGGCGGCCCTCGACAAGCCGCTCGTCGCTGCCCTTCGCTCGGGCGCCATCAAGTTGCTCCGCGCCGAGTTCCTGCGCGCCGACGGCTCCGAGGCGGTGCTGCCCAAACTCCTCCGCCGGCAAGAGCTGGAGCGAATGGAGAAGGAGCGACGCATCCGCATCTTCCTCACGCCGAAGGAGGCTGTTGCGGCGCTGCGCTCGCTGAGCCGCGAAGTCGCCGGGCTGACCTACGGCTGGGCCTCGCCGGACCACCCCGACGTGACTGGAGAGTATCTGGCGAACGTGCGGCGCTTCCTGCGCCACCCGCTCGGCGAGCACGTGACCGCCCTCTTCTGGGAGTGCGCCGCCGCCCCAGACCCACCCCGCACCCAGTGGCTGCGCTGCGTTATAGGCAGGCCTTCCCTCTGCGCCCATCCCTCACTTGAGGCTTCTCTCACACTCTGCCGCCCCCGCCCCCTGTGCGCCTCCCCTCCGCAGCTTCTCTTCGCTCCCGCAAAAGCCAAGGACGGCGGCCGAGGACGACTTCTTCTATCAAGCGCTCAAGGTCCGCGCCGCCTTCTCTCCGCCGCCCTCACAGCCCGCCGCTCTTCTACTCCCCACTCTCTCGCCCGCACACATGCCCTTGCTTCTCCAACGCCTCCCCTCTTCCTACCCCTCCGCAGGTCATGGGCGACGTATACGCCTCTCTCTTCGGCACGATCGTCATCCGCCACCGCTCCGTGCCAGCCCGCCCGGCGGAGCTGGACGGCGAGGTGGTCATCCTCGTCGAGAAGGGCGGCGGGCTCGACGGCGCCGGCGCCGAGGCCGAGCTGCGCAGTGCTCTCGGGGCGTTTGAGAACCCGCGCTACGAGGAGGGCCGGTGGCGCGTTCGCTTCCCAACGCACGCGGCGGCGGAGGAGGCGGTCGAGGCAGCCTCTGCAGCGGGTGCGCTGCCGGGCGCGATCGCCGTCTTCCTCTTCTACAACAGCCGCCCTTACCTCGCTCGCGGGTGCGCACCCCCCCCCCCCCCC